GTTAGGTTACCGTTATGTTTTTATCTGAGGTTAATTGCGCTGATTATTCCTTTGGCATCTTGATATATGGTACAGTGAATTTGTGATTTTTTTTCGTCTCAATCGCTAAAAAAAAGAAGCACAATGAAAATTCTAAAACAAATAAACAAACATTTTTTCTACCAAATGTTTACCAGCTGTTAGTTTTTAAAGAACATTATACCATATTTTAATGAAACCATAATTTGTGCTTTACTTAAAATAGCAGATGGCGGTCCTTTCCTGTTTTCTCTGGTAATTTTGTCGTTATAAATTAATAATCCTTAACTAAATATATATATATATATATTATACAAAAATTTTCAATAACACAATTATTATTAGACTTTAAAACATTATTTTACAAAACTACTATTGTAGTGTTGTAAAATAAAGTTTTAAAGTCTAATAATAATTTAACACTTCAAACCGTTATTAATTGGTCAATACAACAAAACGAAAAGTTAATGGGATGGTATAATTCATTCGAAAATATATTAATAAACATAATATATTATTCTTCAAAATACTCTATCAAATGTGATATTTTGAATGGATTTGCATCCTTGCTAAAGTAATATTCAAACAGCTTTCATACTTGAGTTTATTTTATCAATTAGGTACATGAATAGTATTAATGAATATGCCATAGCAGAAAGTGGCAGGTGAGATATGATCAGTACTAAACAATACAAGGGTTATATATCGTTATAAAGCCAAAAGATACAAGGATTAAATGTGACGGAAATGATGTCAGCAGATGAAAGGACATAGGTAAAGGTCAAGTGTATGAACGGTAAATAGATCTTGTCAAATACGGCTGATGTTGCTAGGGCCATTATCACGGTTTAGTGAGAGATCGTCTGCTTTGATGATTTCTGTAGTTTCTAAACAGTTTCTTTCTTTTTTAGTCTTGGATTGATGTAGGAGAAGAATTTCATTTCAAAGCACTTTGCGACCTGTTTCTTATTGATGTTATGTTGAGGCAGATATCCGAAATTCACCTCTACACATGTGATCTTGGAGTTTATTGCGTCTTATTTCTAAGGAACATGACGGTTGTTCTATGTATTTCTTTCCACATTTACATGGGATACTATATATGTTTTGTTTTTGTTCTTTTAGAAGTGATTCTTTCGGTTTATGTGAAGGTTTGAATATAGTTTTTACTTCAATGCAAATTGCTGACGAAATTACTAGTATAATTAATAATTTGAGGTGCGTTTGGGTAGTTTTAGCAGGACAGAATATGTTAAATTACTGTAGAATATTACGAAATGTTCTCTTAGTTTTGTTATACAAGTTACCAAGAAAATAATGAAGTTATTACCAGTGCATAAAGAAAACTCCATTTCGTCACCATGCCCCCACACATAAGATCTAATCATCACCTATTATAGAAAATATTCTATTTCTTTACCTACATAAATTGTGCTATGCAACTTAACTCTAGCCTTCACCTATCAACAGAATAAAACATAGCAAATCTCTTTCATTCCTTTTTGTGCCAGGTAATCTATCTGTTTGCTGTGTCCTTTTATGTATATTCACTGATTTCTCTCGCCAAATATATATATATACTGCTAAAGCCTCAGCATGTATGTTCCAAAATGCTAACAAGTTTATGGATAAACCACAAACGATTCAAAAGTATGGAGACATTTATAGTAGAACATCTAGAAACACTTAGCTCAAGCCGAAGGTGCTACAAAAGTGTTAGAAATATTTATTTTTTAGGATTATGAACAGGTGCCGAAAATCATCTGAGCATTAGTATTACAGTGGTTATAAGCAAACAGACACCTTCAATTTACTGCGTAACATGGTTGTCATTAATATGAAAGTTACACCACTTTTGAGTATGTTCAGTAATGTATTCTTAGTGCTCAGCTCAGCCAGCATTGGAATTTAATGACTGGTGAACAAGCAGGTGAACAAGTTCCTGGTAGTCGTATACTGAGCATTAGGTGAGAGACTTATATGTGAAATATCTGCATATTTGAATGCCATAAACATTAAGAGACCTTAAATGGATAAATAACAGCGCCATGATAGTGTTTGATTGGCAGGCAACGAGTTGTACCAGCCAAATAACATTACTTAGCGCAAACATATGTCCCATCACTGGATTCAAAACAAGAGTATGAGTGCCAATTCAGACGAAATTATCAATATATTTTAAGAATGTCAAGTTCTCTCATATTTGTTTTAAATCAGCTAGCCACTTCTACTAGCGTTTTAGCTCCGTTTTCAAATCTAAACGTTCTGTTGTATTTTATTTTGTCTGTTTTTCTCATCTAAGTAAAATAACTAAAAATGATTATAAGCATCAAGAATTCACATTTCCCTAAACATACAATATCACATGAAAATGGTTCATTATTGGTGGCTCAACGATATATCTGAGGGCTTATAACCTTAAACATCAGGTTTCAATACTTGTGGTGGGCAGAACACTCATTGTTTAACTTTGTGCTTATCAGTAAACAAAAACAAACTAAAAAATATTTTTAGTACAATTACTATTCTTGATAATGCCTTTACTGGCGTAACCATGGTAACAATGAATGAAATATTTGTGAAACGTACAATTATCTTTATTGTTCTTTAGAAAAAGGGTTGACGAAAGTTTCTCCCTTTTTTCGATTTGTTTTTCATGAGTATTTCATACATTTCCGAAAACACATTTACATTGCTTCAAAAATAGCACTTAAAGCAGATATTAAAAAGCATAATGTGATACAGAAACAACAAATCACATAGACGTGTCTCTGTGAAATTTATTCCAAAGAAAATTGTATCGACCTGCATCAATTATTTGTAAAAATATCCAACACTGGATTCTACTGTTCACTTTTAAACATTTTTTGTTGTTGCCTAATATGACATTAAAGCGAAAATAAAACCCAGAGAGCGTATATAGTTATCTAAGGTATCTTATATGCAGTGGATCAGTTGAAAGTGTTTAGTTAAAAATGTTACAATCATAATAATGGGAGTACTCTAAACACGTTCAGTTTAGAACGTCACTCTCATCACCTGTAGTTACTAATATAGCACCACGTTCAGTTTAGAACGTCACTCTCATCACCTGTAGTTACTAATATAGCACCACGTTCATCACTCTCCTCACCTGTAGTTACTAATATAGCACCGATATTGGTTTATTGATAATGCTTGAATGGGTAACGAAGAAAAACCTTAATATAAGTTGTACATTTGCTGTCATGTTAAACTTATATTAAAGTTTTTCTTCATTACCCATTCAAGCCGTCTCCAAACATTATTAGTCTCAAAGGGTTTCTTCGTCATCGAATTTTGGTTCATTAGCCTCTTACTGGCTCAGCGGTGCTTGTAGGCTTACAACGCTAAAAATGGGGTTTTGATACCTGTTTATGGCAGAGCATAGATAAGCCATTGTGTAGCTTTTCGTTAACAACAGCCATCCATACCTATTAGTTTATACAAACTAAATCATTTTAATCACCCTGTAATAAATGTTATACATGTAATGTTCATACTGATACTTTAAAATGCTGTGTTTGTTCAAACGCTGTTTTAATGTACTTTCTAGAGTATTGTAAATAAAATGCTAGCAAGGACATAATCCATGTCAATATAGATACGATTATCAGCATATTCTAAGAATCGCTTTAATACTCAATGATTACTACTCACAATCGCTTGTCTGTTAACATCTACCACTCCAAAAAAAGGAGATCGAGAATACATCATTAAGTTAACAGTTGGCTGTAACAAATTGTATGAAAGATGAGCGTGAATTACATATTCATAAAGTAAGTAGGCTTGAGAGTAATAACATTTATCTCTTTCGTAGCAGTGTAAACGTATTGGGACTAGTCAACACTTTCCTGTACACTGCTGAAACGAAATTTGAATGTTCTCTAATTTGTTCTCTCCGTGTCTGTTGTACTTAGCACTCCTTTTTCTTTCGTCTTCGTCTGAAAATTCTAAATGACCACAGAGAAACGAAAGATATAATACATATTTCATTATTTTTTGTCTTTTATTCAAGCTTATATAGTTAAAATGTAAATGTAAGCTAAGAATATGATGATTGACTAACATTAAATTATCCCTTCAATAACTTCAATATAATATATTTAGTTAATAACCTATCTTTATAAAAACAGTTATAAACTATAAAGTATCATAGTCTATAAACAGTAGTTACATTTTCAACACTAGTATGTTGCTATAGCAAATTGACTAGAGTGTAAACATTAGGGTTCAATTAATACTAAGTGTCTTGCTTCTGAAGTGAAATACTTGGAATACAGAAATATCAGATGCAAATAACTATTAAAATGTCTTATTGTAACACATTTCGATTACAAACAGCACTCCGGTTAAATTATTATAATTGATATATTTCTATACATTGGCACATTTACAATACAAAAATAACATTTTTGAAAGATGGTCACTAGTTTGTCGTTATAGACAAATACTCAGACCACAAAGAACAATCTACAAATATTATAAAAACCATCACTCTCATCTCAGTTGGACTCAACCTGCTCCTCTTCTACTCCATTTGATGGAGCTTTCAGTTCTCCACGCCCTTGATGCTCCCTCTATTTCTGCTTATGACATTCACTCACTTTTGGGGATAAGCAAATATAGTTTACGTTAGTGAATCTAGTATATATAATTAGCATTATTAATATTCTCTTGTTAAGTTGGTTTGATTTGTTATATGCAAAACGATAGATAATTGGTGAAAGTATGTTAAGCGAATATAGATATTATTTAAATATTATGCTAAGTAATAACTTATCATTTCATAAGCCACATTAGTTGTACACATTATTCATAAACAAATTTCTTAATTTTATGCACAAAAGTTCCTCTTATTATCAATAAGTGTAAGAAGTCTACGCTTTTAAGTATAATATTCGTACAGTCTTAACTTGATCATAGCATTCAATGAATAATATTCTCGTGTAACTTTTTGTTAGTACCCTTAAGCATTCTGAAACATGAAGTGGAGCCTCTCCTGGTGGCCTATTGCTCAACTATAACACTCACTTGTCATGTGGATACGTCTGCTCAAGAATCTGACGTCTGGTGGTCTTTCAACAACGAGAATGCATCCGAATTACCAAACGTTACTATAGTAACGGAGCACGCGGAAGAAGGGATTTGGAAGCTTCAGCTAGATTGTCCCACCCTGAAGCATGCCGGGAAATATGTGTGCAACGCCCAGCTGAAGAACGAGAGTGACTTAGTTTATCGTAAGGAGGCGACGGTCAATGTATACGGTAAGTCTCCCGTTTTGAATTCCGTCTTTGTGGGTGATAGGAATGACCGGGAAAAATTATACTTCTATTAGGTAATTTTTACTTTTAATAAATTGATGATATTCGCACATTATTAGGATTTTTTGTGAGATATTGGTAAAGGAAAAACAGAAGACGAATGAAATATATGAATAGCGTGATAGTCTACTAATTAGATATATCTAACTTTTGTGCTTGTTTGTTTTCGACGTTTACTAGTGATATAGACTAGATTAAATGTTTGGCTACTTGTAGCAGTTTTGGATTTCTTTCTCATATTACGTTTAAGATTATGATAAATATTTCCCCCTGCATTAACAAAATCTAGTGAGCTATGATTCGATAGTTATCAAAGTGACATCATTGGTCTTTGTTTTTTTATGTTAAAAAGTTTAAATACGATGACATTAGTAACACTTCCAATATGAAACGTAAACAAAAAACGAGAAAAGTTGGGTGAAAGCTGGGGTGACATTAGAAATAAATAGACCCAAAATCTGTGATAAGAATCATAAAAAATCGTTACACTGCCTACATAAATCATCGTCTGCCTATATAAATCATCGTCTAACCCAACTAAAAAAATTGTTACACTGTCTATATAAATCATCGTCTAACCCAACTAAAAAATTGTTACACTGCCTATATAAATCATCGTCTGTCTATATAAATCATCGTCTAACCCAACTAAAAAATTGTTACACTGCCTATATAAATCATCGTCTAACCCAACTGAGAAGTTTTGGTATTCAAAGAAAAGCCTCTTTGGCAGTGACTTGAGGAAGCCAAGACATAGATCTGTAATACTGTTTTTACACGCCTTTGATTTTGAGTCCGAAATTAATATAAATGTGAAAGAAAACATCTCCAATTTCTTATCGCCCATTTTAGTCCAATTGGTTTCTGATGTTTCGCCAGTTTTTGGCGTATAAACCCTAACTTTTAAAAACAGAAAGGTTTCTTGATTTGCCCCTTTTTTTTTTAAAGACTTGAACATGATATGTTAAAAACATCAGTAACTGCCTATAATCTTTATTGTTCCAGGATTCTGAACGATTTTATTTTTTGTACGTGAGAAATTATTATAAACAAAGATTTGCCATTGATTTTCGTTTAAATCCATTGAGCTGTTTTTCTGTTCATGATTTGAAACTTGTATTTTGTAGTTTCTTCCAATAATAGAAAATCCATTGAGCCGATTTTCTGTTCATGATTTGAAACTTGTATTTTGTAGCTTCTTTCAATAATAGAAAATCCATTGAGCCATTCTTCTGTTCATGATTTGAAACTTGTATTTTGTAGCTTCTTTCAATAATAGAAAATCCATTGAGCCGTTTTTCTGTTCATGATTTGAAACTTGTATTTTGTAGCTTCTTCCAATAATAGAAAATCCATTGAGCCGTTTTCTGTTCATGATTTGAAACTTGTATTTTGTAGCTTCTTCCAATAATATAAAATCCATAGAGCCATTTTTCTGTTCATGATTTGAAACTTGTATTTTGTAGCTTCTTCCAATAATAGACTTTTTTACAATGCAGTTAGTCATTATATCCATCTTAACCACAACTAATTTGCTATTATGCGACTTGTGTTTGTTGTGATTGTAGTTGAAGAAATAATTCTGTGTTAATGGTAACGTTCCGTATAAGTTTTTATTTTTATCTTATATAACTGTTACATACACAAAAATGTACGTGGGATGTGTGACAGCTACGTTTTATAGAGCTACATCAGTTCTCTAGTAAAAAATTATATCTTGAAAAATCATCATACCCTGATTCATAGCAAAGAAAATATCCTAGAATGAGGGTATAGAAGA